CTGAATAGAAAGGAATGAAGACAGGTTTTGTCATGCCTGTTAGGACAAAATAACTCTTTAACTAAACTAAATCTGAATCTTCTCATCATCTGTGTATCTCCATTCTTGAAAAATCATATAGCTACTTCCACCTCTCTGGAAGTCTTCTTTTAGTGTATCTTTAAGTGAATCAATTACAGTTTTCTTATGATGTAAATATATATACATACATATATATCCTGCTGCAGTAGATATAAACACTTAGATATACGAAGATCTATGTGGGATTATGTAAGAATTTATGGAAGTCGCACAACAGGAAGCTTCAATTACAGAGGTGTTTACTGCCTGCTATTTCCAGTTTGATGCAAAAAAAATGAACATTATTATTCTCTTGTGGAGTGCCAATAAAAAGGCAGCTTAAAAAATTGAATGAGAGAACTGAAATGACTTTCTCACTGGCTGCACTTTATCTGTTTGTTAAAATTGTTCTTGAGAGTGTGGGAGAATGGAAAGCAACATAATAAAGGCTTTGCCCTCTCACAGAGGATAAAATGTGCGTTAGGAAAAAAAAAATTTTATTTTTAGCATCTCTGTTGATTTCACTGCCAAATATGAAATTAACATGTGGTTAGACTAAGGAATACATCACTTTTGAAAGGAAAAAAAACTAAGTAAGTGGCTGACACACTGTAGAGACCATAAAATGTTCCAGTGTTCTGTTTTCTGAAGCTACAGAATTGGGACATGGTACATTTTTTAAAATTCAGATGAAATAAATCAGGTTTTAATATACTGCTTTCCCACCCTCTCCCTTAGCAATTTATGTGTTCTATTTTACTTGGGTTCTTGCTTGGCTGCTTTTTCTTTGGGGCACAGGCCACTACTTAGAGATTTATTTCCCCAAAAGGTAAGTAAAATACCATTTCCCATCTGCTGTTTCTGTTTTGCATGTTCTCCTGTCCTAATTCTTGACATTCACTACAGTAAAAAGTAGCTGGCATGACACACAGTTCTGCACAGTTTTACTCCATCCTTCCAAGACTGAAATAGCTGTCCAAGGCTAATATAAAATGCGCGTAACTACTCAGGCAATCCATATCAATTGATGTTACTGAGTAACATCATTAAAGCAAACCACTGCAGCCTGCAGCTAACACATATAGGTGCTGCTCTTTAGAGTGTGAGCACCAGGAACACTGCACTGGAGTCCTAAAACAGCCTCCCTCAGGTTGCTTTTTTCCTGCATCAACTCTCTCTAAAGACCAGAGCTCCAGCTGAACAAACCTGGGCTCTTCCAGACTGCAGGTGAGGAGCAGTGTCAGCACTTCAAAGAGAAGGGTTCCTTAAAGAGAACAATGTTACTGGCACCAGGGAACTCGCCGTTGGCTTGATTCCAAGAGGGTCCTGCCAGCTGCTTGAGAAAACTCAAATTCAGCTAGCGGGGCTGATGGAGCAGCTCATCCCCTTTCCTCCAGAAGAAAAGCAAATGCTGTCAGTACCAGGCACGGTGTGCTCCATGTGCTCTCCCCCTCGTAAGAAATCATCCAGAGCACTGCCACTTTCTGTGCGCCTGGCTCAAATCCCAGGAAGGAGGGTAGCTGCTGAACTGGGTCACACGCGCTCACTCACTGGGTAAGAAACTGGGCTCCTTTGATGCCCTCATTGGCAGCGGAAACATGAAGTCCATGAAATGAATGTGCCCAGAAATTGGGCAACGTGGTTATCTCTCAGCGCAGACCCAGCGTGGCATGGAGGTTGTGAGCACTCTGCTAGTGTATGTAAAGGTGCAACCTGCTATAAAGTATGTGAGTAAATAAGGACATTGCTATTACATAGTTATACATGAAAAGAGCAGTTTATTTATCATTGCAAACAATCAGTGATAATTGTCATTCAAAGGCAGCTTTAGTCTTTGCGTCTAAACTCAAAGTAACAGAAACAAACAACAAAAAAGTCAGCTTAAATATCCAATATAAATGAACATGGAATATCTGACTCTTGAGCAGTTTCTTAGCACATTTAAAGAGACCGAGATCACTGATTCAGTCATTTGTGGTCAAGTATGATTATGGAATGCATCTTTCCACATAAAATCAAACAAATCTGGAAGGGAGATAAAGGTAAAGTTCAACTTCTGCTCTTATTCTGAATTCACTTAGAGTTGACTAGCAAAACACTGCAGGAGTCAATGGACTTAAACTGCTGTAAAGTTCAGCATAGGAGAATTACGTCCATGCAGATAATTTCAAAGGAAGATGAAAGTATTTTCCAGAATGTTTCCTAGAAATAAAAAGAAGGGTCCAGTTCATTACAAGGTGACTCATCAATCTGCAGCGTAACTGTACGGCTACTAGTCTGGTCTGTGTATATATTTACAGACACCTGGTGTTTGAAGTCTGAGAAAATGATTACCTTCCTAAGTCACTAACATTTAGATTATAAAAAATACAAAAGTAGAATTAAGGGAACAAGATTGCTTGCAGTCACTATTTAAGAATATCAGTGTGTCTATCATAACCTGTTCGTGCAGTTCCTTCCACAAGATGTGTTATATTTTACTACACAGTCTTTTGCACATGTACTAATGTGAAAATGGGCAAATCCATGATGGAATTAATCGACTGCTGAGCTCTTGAACACTGGATATGTTTTAGTAGAAAAAAATAATTGATTCATCAGTAGTGAGGAATGAGGAAGAAAGTTAACTAAAAATAACATCAAAACACTAAAGATCGAGGTATACAATTAACTGGAAACTGAGATTATTTTCAACAAAGTTGAACAATAGATTTCATGTTTGCTTATTGATGAATCACCTTGGACTCCACTCTAACAGTATTTCAAAATACTTTACATCTGAAATATCGAAATAACATTTTACATCCGTTTTATTTATGCTGATGGCTCCATATTTATAACACTTTATTGAGTTCCTAGACTTCAAGATTGTCATCTAGCAACTTAATAAAAGCAAGATGAAGCAGCTATTAACAACTAGTAAAATAATTACTTGTGCACCTAGCTTTATTCTTATTGCTATTAATAGCAGTTGAGGAAGTTTATGTTTTCAGGACCGGCCTTTACAAGCAGATCGCCATGCGACCTTTAGGCTTGTCACTGCATTGTATCTGAAAACGTTTCCACATGTACCAAAACAGTACAGCAGAATTGTGTGAAGGCAGAATAGCATTAGTGACAAATTGTGTATTGTTTCTATTTTGTAATTAAGTAAAACTGCAGACTAAAAGTCAAGAGGTTTACCTCTCAGCAAATGGCAGGATTGATCCCAAGGACTGAGCGGTGATCTATAATCTGCGCCAAAAAGAAAAAAAAAAGGTGGTTCAAAAATGGATGTACCACATAGATCAGCCAGCTTCAGCTGCCACTAAGTCTACTAATTGTATGAACCTATAGGTGTTTCTCCAAAATACCTACCAACAGGACAACAGGAAAAGGTCTCAAGTTGCATCAGAGGAGGTTCAGGTTGGATATTAGGAAAAAATTGTACACAGGAAGAATGGTGCAGTGTTGGAACAGGCTGCCCAGGGCAGTCGTTGCGTCCGTGTCCCTGCTCAAGAGCCCCGCAGAAGTAGCACTTAGGGACGTGGCTTACCAGGCCTGGTGGTGATGGCTTTGCAGTTGGATTCAATGATCTCAAAGGGCTTTTCCAACCTTAATGATCTTTGATTCTATGATTTATACTCAGACAAAACATGAAGGCGTGCTCTAAGCACTTCTGCTTTACCAGCCAGCTTACCGGATCCATAAGGGACAGGAAGGGAAAGCGAGGCATTGCAAAACCACCTCCATTCCCATGTGTAATCCCCAGCGCCCGTGTGGCGGGAGGCAGCTTTGCCGCATGGCCTGAACTCCAGCAGGGCTCCTCTGCCAGACTGGCTGCAGCCATTTTTCATTCAGGTTGGCTTGGTTTATTTTATTTTTTAGTGCAGCCGCGTGTTTCCAGAATGTTCCATGGCCTGGCTGGCCGCTCTCTCTGTGCAAACGCCGAACGCCATACAGCAGCTCGGAGCAGGCAGAGGATGATTAGGAGGAGTGTGATAACGGTGCTAGCTCGCGGCAGGGCTGCCCGGCAGCCA